ATACCACCACCTTTTGGTTATCTTCTTTATACATACAGACAAATGTTATGAGCAGTTTATTCATCTTTGTAGATCGAAAGCTAGGAGGACATCAAGAAATGCCCTCATTGGGCTCAAAATTTGCATATGTCTTGTGGAATAGATGGAATAATACAGAAACCACTAATTTCATCTTTCGATACAGACTGACCTCTGTATAATCAGATACCCACTCAGATGGTTTAAGAGCTAACTAATCACATTAGAAATTTCTCCCTAGATCGAGAGCCAAAAATTTGATTGATGAAACAATCTTATTTGGGGAGAAGAAGCTAAAAAATAATTCATTTCATGTATTATTGAGGAATTATCCCTTTTATAATTGTTGTTTAACCATATTGGGCAGAGTCAAGAGACTTACTCTTTGGTTTGGTATATACGTTGGCCTACATCTGAGACTTTTTGAGACATTTGATCCAGAAAACAAAAGTAGTGATTTAAGAGGTAGACATTTTGAAGGAACTCACTCAATTCTTGTGTATATATAAAAGTACTAGTAGAGTTTGTTTTTTACAAAAAAATTAGTTTGCTTACTACTCTTTTTTTTAATAGAAGTGAAAATTGAAAAATACAATATTAAAAAAAAAAAAACCACTCATAGCCTACCTTATTAACATTTTGGTATAGTTTGAATTGCTTTTTAGAAATTAGAAAAATTATTCATATATTTAAGCCACAGAAGAATGCATGTAGCTTTTTACTTGTAAAGCATTATGTTCAATATCTTCAAACTCACATTTGAGCTTAAGAATTGATGTTTTGTAATGTAGTGAATTTATTTTCATGCTTCTCTACAAGTTATAACTCTGGATCTCCCTGCCTCTCCTAACTCACCCCAAAGGGAGACAGTTGTGAGTTTTCTTGTTATAATTTTATCATAGTTTTTCAGTTATATATGTTTCTGAAAAGTGCATTGTTTGTACTTTGTGTTATGCTGTATATATCTCTTACTTGCTCTTTTTCAGTCAGCAGTATGCTTTGAAAAGTCATCTTCATTTTTGCTTGTATCTTTAATTTGTCTGGTTGTTCACTATTAATACCCCATTGTATAATAGTGTATAATATTCATTATTTATTTTTATGTTGGATTGCTTCCAGTATTTGGCTGTTATTGAGAGTATGTGAACACTGTTTACATGTCTCCTAAAGGAAGAATTTCTAGGTTATATATTTGGAAGTGGATTGGGGTTCTACCAAGCAATACTTGACCACTGAGAGAACTGGTCATTCATGTCTCACTGTCTTCACCACTTTTTCATTAGGTTATTTCGAGTGTTGACTTTTAAAAGCATACAGTTTATATTATCTGAAAACTGTTAGAAACCCTTAGGTACTTACAGTGCATAAATGCTTACATGTGTCTATGTATAGATACATGAATACATTTAATATTTTGTATATAGTATCCCCCTCCATGATGGGATCATATAAAACAAATAACTGGTCTCTTTCCTGCCCCTGGCTCCCATTGCTGTTAGTTTCTCTTAGGTACTAGATCTAGTTTTTACTTGGTGTGTATCTTTTGTATATTTAGGCTTTAGATGTAATTAACAAAATTCTAATTTTTTTTTTTAAATCCAAGTGAAGTTTTTATCTTTTAACAAGTCAGTCAGTTTTCACTTATTGTGGTTACCGGTAATTTATACTATTTCACCTAACTTTGTACTTAATTTTCCATCCTTTTAGGTTTTCTTTTTCTGTGTTCTTGTCTTTTTTTTCCTCATTTCATTTTTATTTAAGTAAATTAGTTAGATAATTACATATATGTGAATATATATGTATGTATATACATACATGGGCTATATATGAGTGTATATACATTTATTGACATGCATGTGTGTTATTCCTTATTACTTTGTTTTAAATGTAACAACCTTTATATTTATTTGGTATTTTTTTCCTCCAAGCATTATTAGAAAGTTACTATCTTATTTACCTCTCTTCTGACGTGTGCAAAATTTTTGTATGCTTTTAATTATTTTCTGCTCAATAAAATGGGTATTTATTGTTTCATATAGATTTATCTACATATATACCTTCTTTCTTGTTTACCATTCTTCTTGAAACATTATCTATTAACTATTTTCTTTTTTTCTGAAGTCAGTTTGTTTAATTTTATAAGAAACTGACAAACCATTTTTAGGAGTAGGAACACCCATCTCTCAGTTTACGCAGATTATGTGTTCTGTGAGTCTTTTTTTATATGAAAGAATACCATGTAAAGTTTACCAGTATGAAAAAAAAATACTAAAGATACAGGCTGATATGTCACAAAAATACTTATTTCATATATTTTCATGGAAAAATGCTAATTAAAAATGCTAATTAAAATTAAGAAAAACTAAAATAAATTTTATTCGCGTTCAGTGTCTCATCTAAACCAATACTCCTCCTCATTAATTGGCACAGAGTCACTATCATCTTCCCTCAAAATATTTGGAAGTACTACTTCAGTTTCATTATTTATGTTTATGTTTTTGGTTGCTTTTTTCCTAACCCCATCTTTTGCTAAGTTTTCATAAATTCTTTGATATTTATTGCAACATTTAAAAAACTTTGTTCCAAATTTTAAGGCTGTTTGGAGCAATAGGTAGAATTTCAATTTCCTGTTCTGTTGCCAGTTGAACAGCTTTGTAAATATTTCCTGCAGTGAATGGTGCTGGTTCAAGGTCACTGCCATATCCATCAGCAGGATGGGCTTCAGATAGTAAGTGAATTAATTCATTGTCAGTTAATTCATGATCAATGAGTTATTTGTTAATATCATCTACATTCAAATTGTCAGAGCCTTTTATTTGAAATATATTAAATAAATTAATAATGCCAGTTATTCCTTCTTCAGTTGTTGGAGCCATGTTCTCTAATACAACCACTTCCAGCCTTATTGCTTTCCAGCAAGCATCTAAAGTTGTGGTTTTATGTCACTCAAAGTTAAAGCAGTATTTTTTTTTTAAATGAGCGTAGGAACTTCACACTCCTCATTTATTTTTCCTCCCTAGGTGATTTATTTTATTTTTTTAATTAATTACTTTTGTATAGTGACATTGGTTAACAAAATCTAGTAAGTTTCAGCTGTACATTTTAACAGTGAGGCATGTATTTTTACATTGTGTGTTCACCTCCATTGTTAGATTTCTTTCTGTCACTACATATTTGAGCCCCTTTTCCCCATCTACCTAACCCCTACCACCTACCCTGGGGTAAGCAGTTGTCTGTTGTCCATGTCCATGAGTCTGTATGTTTTGTCCTGTTCATTTGTTGCTTTTAGGTTTATATTCCACATACAAATGATATCATGTGGTTTTCAACTTGTTTTGTCTGGCCC